ATACACCAATACCCTCTCAATCGCTCTGCCGTGATCCAGGAGCTCATTTAATGCATTGATACATCTTATTTGTTGGTGCTTCAGTGGCTTGTCGGGCGAAATCATTTTGTCCAGACTGAAATACCAAAGGTTGTCTGGTACGTCTTGCATCGTTGTTCCTACAAGTGTAGCATTTATCGGATCATATTTCCATTATGAAAACCAACTGGAATTGGTTACGTTTCTCGACTTAATTTAATTGCAACAATACATTTGAACAATTCATCAGTGAACATCAACCTTTATAGGGTATGCACAAGAATCAGGAAGCAACATTAAGGATGTTATAATAACTAAAATCACGAAATCCACAAAGAAAGTGGGGGTTTTCTTTAGATACTTGATGGAAGTAATCGAATGTATTAACTAAGTAAAATAGTAAAGTCGTTTGATTTGTCCCAGATTTCATATATATCTTACATTTGACATTTAACTGACTGCTACATAATTTGTTTGGAAGTAGGTTAGACATATTCAATCGCTTCAGTAATTGATCATTGTACGGATTAGTGTTTGTTATGAATATGAAAAAATATCAAATATTTAATCGTGGACATTGTAACATGTACTTGAAGAAATCTTAATTGTATTTAGTTAAAATGAAGCATAGAATTGTCTGCTGATTTCTCTAAAGTATGCCTTTTCATATAAAGGAACATAGGCGTGGTTGCATTTGTAGATCACGTATCGATCTATACAAAGGCTGCCGATAACCCATCAGAATCGTTCTATATTGAAACATATCATGATTTAAACGTCCCTAACCTTAACATTGATTGGTTTGAAGACGAGATGACAGGACATATCGTTTGCATACAACAGATAACGTTTATGAAGCAGGTACCTTTTCAGTAATTTTCTCAATGAATGAAACATAAAGGAAAGAAAAATAAAATAAAAGAGAATGTACAGAAGTTAAACGTTTCTTTGAACCTGTTACATGACTAAGTGTTTGCCAGTGCAAAAGAATCTTTCCTTGAAGGATTCGAAAACCTAAAATAACCCTCAACACTGAGGTTGATTCCCATTAGCCTGAATCCCTTAAAGGATTTGGTGAAACTCTGAATGAATCGAGGTAACCTTCAGATCTAGTGTTATCATTTGTCAGACGGAGATTTGAAAAGCAACCTGGCTTTGGGGTATAAGTTCTCGAGTAATTGCCATTTTCTTCGTGGTCTGTAAAATATCGATTTAACCCTAGCACAGGGAACATTATTTTGGCAATTTCTAACCGTTTAATGAATATTTTGAACTTAACCTAACTTACTTCATCATGAACGGAAGTTTCAAGTCCATAATCGATATTGCATTTATATAGGACACTCAAACAAGTACACTATTATTTACAGAACTTTAAAAGCCATTTAGCGCGATAGAAAAGCGACGACATTTTCCAGACTAGCTTACTTTTCTGTCAGTTTTACCTTTCCTGGGCAATTTTAGGATTTATGTCAATGTATACCTTGGTTCATGAATATATTTCGAGATATGTTAACCAAACAAAAACTGTAGAGTTGATGGTTTAACACTTTCAGGACTATTGATTTTCTATGTAATCTGTTGTCTTGAAACATATAACTGAACAAATTCTCTTTGATACCATGTTCCTACTTTTCAGATTACTGATCAGCCAAACTGGCGATATTTTAAGGGTAGTTATCCCTCTAGAAATGATTGGAGCCATTTCCATTACTTATTACAATCAATGCTTTGCTTTGATGGGCCATAGGATTTTAGACAAGATTGACTCATAACCCAATGCCCTGAGGCTTTTATTAGCAAACGTGGGTACCATAGATAGAGCTCTTCCTAGGAGGTTAAAACCAATTTGTGCAAAATGAAAGCAAATATCATCTAAGGCTGAAAAAGGAATATCTGAAATTCTGGACTTCCTGACTGATAACATATATGTGGAATTTGCAGATAGGACACTTCGGCAAAAACAAGCCTCGCCTTTGGTATCAGTTGATGCTGAAAGGTTTCTTCAGCGTATTAACCGGAAGGCCTGTTGAGCTTGTTAAAATTCAAACATGGTATTTGCTAAAGAAGATTAACTGCAGCTTCAGGTATACAGATCGTCTGATATCGTCCAATACTGGTGAAATAAATAAGTCCTTTCAACTGATGCATCCACCAGGACTCGAAAATCCTCCCGAAAAGCAATAGTCTTATCTCTTTCACATTTAGATCAGTGCAAAAAGATTCAGTGTCAAAACACACAAACCGTTCGTAACGTTACAACCTGTCGTAACTCTATAGTTTACCATAAGCTTACGAATCACTGGTAGGGAACTTGGTTTCAGTGAGAGTGGAGTCTTTGTGATTTTTCCGACGGAAACTTTGCAATGTGTCACAGAATCTTTGCACTGAGATGAGTTTTGACAAGACGAAATGGTAATTATAGCTTTACCCTTCTGGTTATTTTAGGTCGTATTTTTTAAATCACCGCATAATGTTATCTTACACAATTGTAATTTATTGGGGCACGTCAATATGTTGCATAGATAATGACAATGAAGGAATTTTCCGTTACATCAATTTCGTATTCACAAAGTTTCTGTGACATTAAACCAATTCATGGGAATTAATATGTTCGGGTTTTTTCGCTGATAAAACAGCACATGCTTTATGATGAAAGAGGATAATCTCTAAACGGAACACTTTGTATTATTTTTACACTTCTTTATGGGATCATTTGTCACAATATACCGGTATTTATCAAAAAGAATGAATTTCGTGACAATTAATGGTTTTACATAATTATCAGTAACTTTCAGAACAACACATATTTACTTGTTACTGATGGAAACCTACTGTAAGTAAATGTGAATTCAACTCTCTTGAAATATTGATTTTGTAGGTATACAGGCCATTTATTGTACCTTACCCTTACCTTGCTGATGCTAAAATCACAAAGACTCTGTGACATATCACAAAGTTTCCGTCGCAAAAATCACAACCACTCCACTGTCACTGTAACCAAGTTCCCCACCAGTGCGAATGCCGTAGCGCTACGAACGCTTTGTGGGTCGGGAACCACAATAACAAGAACTCACGAAAAGATTGTATGACAAGAGGGATGACTTCAGCTACCCAAGTCAACCCGCCAGTCGTTGAGCAACATTCCAGAAGCTCCAGGAGTTGGTTTCTATATTTTACAACCCGCAACCCTGCTTGTTGTTTGATCACGGTAACTAAATTGGAGGTCTCAGAAAAGCGTCCAAATTGGGTCTATATTTCACAACTAGCGATAGAGTTACAATCAATGGTGCTCTTTCTGCGAAGATTTCAAAGCGTGTCAAATGACTCTTCCTCAAGAGTTGTTTGATCATGATAACTATATCAAATCCCTCGGCACAGCTTTCAAAGGCTGTTAAGGTAGACATATGGAGGACATTTCCCAATCTGACGTAGCAGGGATGGAAATGACGTCCTCTGCACTCCCCTATTTCGATGTTCACGATATGTTTATGTGAACAAATACGTTGCCCTGGTTTGTGTTTGTGCCAACTGGGATGTTCCTACAATATGGGATCATCGCTCTTTGATGACAGGGCGGTGGGGTAGCCTAATGCTTAAAGAGTTGGCTCGTCACGCCGAAGACCCGGGTTCGAATCCCCACATGGGTACAATGTGTGAAGCCCATTTCTGGTGTCCCCCGCCGTGATGTTGCTGGAGTATTGCTAAAAGCGGCGTAAAACCAAACTCAGTCAGTCAGTCAGTCTTTGATGACAACTGTCACGATGGTTTATAAACACATACTTTTATATGGAATATAGCTTAACCCCACACGAGCAGGTTTGCAGCTCACCCAGCCAAAACAATTGCAAGGTAGCTAAAATATCTACACAAAACGTCCTAAAATTCCTTCAACAAATATAGATACATTAATGTCCCTACTTACATAAAAATGGTGATAATCAACGTAACATCTTACACTAACTACCCGGAGGGGGATTTTTCGAGCTACCTTTTGCATATAAAGTGTGTTCATATCCACACACTCTTACAAGTTTTATTTTACTAAAACATAAATATCACAGAAAAGACACTTCGCAGAAGACCGCCTCCGTGGTGTAGTGGTTAGAGCGTCCGCCCGGAGAGCGGAAGGGCCTGGCGCTCGGCATTAATGGGTACAACAAGGACTGGTCGGCTCGGAGTCAGCATAATGTGTCTGAGTGGGGTATTCATGCTTCACTGCGGCATGGTATCGCAGTTGGCTAGCACTATAAAACGAGCTTCAGTCTGGGCTAGTACATGCAGCCGCACATACACATACACACGCATGCACGTCGTCATATGAGAGAAATATTCTCAAGCACGACGCTAAACCCAATTTCACCTCACCTCACCTCACAGAAAAATTATACACTGATCTTCCAACTGCCCAATATCTCTAAAACGTAGAAAAATATTAAGTTTTAACTGAACGTTGTATGTCAATACTGCAACAGTTGTTGCCCAGAAGCCCTTCGGTGCATGATATCTGTACGGTTTAATTAAGAGCTAAGATGTATACTTACATGAATCATCACCAATGGGGTCTCATGAAATCAATATTTTCCAGCCCCGCGGGAACATGGTAATTGCAACCTACCAACTTCTGCTTTGGTATGGGCAGTGCCTACTCCTTGTGGTATCGACCGATGGATCGAATGTCTGATCTGGATTCGATTATTTACAACCTACCGTTAAGTAGTGTACCGTTTTGCACTGAGCGAATAAACAAACTGGATGTGTCATGTTTCGTCTTCTCAACCCCATGCACTAAACAAACAGTCACATAAAAAAAATCACAGTTAATTTTCTTTCTAAAAATCTGTAAATGCCAAAATATACTTGTAATTTTGTAAATCTGTATCACCGAAGAGATTTAAAGATGAAGGTAATTTTGTATATTCTTGTGTACTACAGGATAGTTTCCTAGATATTAACTGTGTCTGGATCTGAATCTGTTGCAGTTAGCAGCCTTTTTCTCCTTCACCTGGACCTTCGGAGAGTTTCTGTGCAAGAGTGTCCACTATCTTCAGAATGTGTCTGCCATCTGTTCCGTATTTACCCTGACAGCCATGAGTCTGGAGAGGTTTGTACAACTGCGCAGTAGAGATATCGCCGACTGAGATTGTTTCCATATTGCCGATACAACCCACGTTCTGTTGACATGGAATAATTGCTTGGCTAACCCGCATCGATACTGATATATACTTTACCGTTATTTTCGTGCAACATAAACACTTTCTGTTAAGCCAGACCCGTAACTCAAACATATGATCCAGACGGGAACCTCAGACATATGATCGAGACCAGTAACTCAAACATATAGTTATGAATGAAGACAACATGTGTTCCCAAAACAATGCATTGAGTGATTCCATCATTAAATAGTATATACGATTTTGGGTGTAGGAGTAGGGCAGATTACTCTGTTGATTTATTGTTTGCGAAATATTTTGAATCCAGATGTTGTAATGTTGGTGTGTGCAGAAAAGGAAAAAGGGACCCGTTTTACTTTACGTCTTCGACTTAGTGTACGATGTACTACTACTACTACTACTACTACTACTACTACTACTACTACTGCTACCACTACTACTATTGACCCGTGAAGACTCGTAAGAATTGATCTTCAGTAACCCATGTTTGTAGTAAGACGCGACTAACGGGATCGGGTGGTCAGGCTTGCTGACACACAATCATGTCATCGGTTCCCAATTGCGTTGATCGATACTCATGCTGTTGAACAAAAGATTGTCTGGTCGGGACTCGATTATTTACGGACCGCCGCCATATAGCTGGAATATTGCTGAGTGTGGCGTAAAACTAAAGTCACTCTCTCACTTACTCATTCACTCACTCACTACCACTACAACAAGAGTCATCAGAAGATGACATATTCCCCCGGCCCCCACATATTTGAAAGAACAAGTCATCCGACAGTTACTTAAAGTCAAGCTTGATTTTTTTAGACTAAGTCCAAATCGTTTCCATGGAAATCATGAAAAATATAAATGCCAATATCTGTAAATCGCAAAAGGCACCACTTCAAGATCTGCCTCATATATCTGCCAGGTTCTGTTGAACGGTTCGAGTTGTTGAAAAATGATTGAGACTAAGTTTTCGAAACCGGGAAAAATAAAATGATAAAAATCTGCAAAAAGCAAAGGCACCACTTCCTCCCTGGGGCGGTGGGAGCCTAGTGGTTAAAGCGTTTCGTCACGCCGAAGACCGGGTTCGAATCCCCACATGGGTACAATGTCAAAAGCCCATTTCTGTGTCCGCCGCCGTGATGTTGCTGGAATATTGCTAAAAGCGGCGTAAAACCAAACTCAGTCAGTCAGTCAGTCAAGATCTGCCTCATATATCTGCCAAGTTTTACTGAAAGATATTAAGAAGTTTTCAAGTTGTGCTCCGGAAACGAAACCCAACCCTCCCTTTGAGACTAAGTCCAAATCGTTTCCATGGAAACCGGGAAAAATAAAATGACAAAAATTGCAAATAGCAAAAGGCACCACTAAGGGTTCTGCCTCATATATCTGTCAATTTTTTGCTGAAACATAGTAAGAAGTTTTCAAGTTGTGCTCCGGAAACGAAACCCAACCCTCCCTTTGAGACTAAGTCCAAATCGTTTCTATGGAAACCGGGAAAAATAAAACCGGGAAAGATAAAATGCTGTGATTTGACATATTTTTTTGCAGATATATAGATACCTTATAGCTGATTACACTTTGCCACATTGCTTTTATGTGTTTGTTCGTTGTCATTGCAGATATTACGCCATCATGTTCCCGATGAGAGCCAAATATACGTGTACCGTTGGCAAGGCGTGTCGTGTCATAGCTGTGCTATGGCTGTTGTCGGGTCTCCTTGCAGTACCCATTGTTTTCCAAAGAGTAAGTAACTTCATGAACCTTAAACAGTGCCACCAGTTGCCTACAGGATTCACCTTATAATCAATTCAGAAACAAACAAATCACTAGGTGTTCTCTGGCATAAATATTATATTTTTTGTTTCTCTCACATGAATATCGTATTTTATGTCTTGCTCATATAAATATTATATTTTTGTTTCTCTCACATAAATATTGTAATTTTTGTTTCTCTCACATGAATATTGTATTTTATGTTTCTTCCGCATACAAATGTTGTATTTTGTGTTTCGCTCACATAAATATTGTATTCTCTGCCCCGATCATATAAGGATTGTATTTTACGTTTTTCTCACTGCATAAATATTGTATTTTATGTAGCATTTCCAATCTCAGTCTCGTATAATAAACAATACTTATTGTAGCGATTTCTCATGACAAAATTTCTTAATCTCATGCAAATACACATTTTGATAAATATTTGTTGAACATTTTCTAAAGTTCCATACAATTGACGAGCACGTAATTAAGAACAATTCGCATAGTTTTGAGCTATATCAACAGCTAATGTTTTGTTTGGTTTGTCAGCTGGAACATTTAGTGAACTTGCTGATATAACAATCAACAAAACATACCTTCAGTCTAAAACTTTTAAAAGAACTTTTTAGCTGAGCAGCGCCCTATGTTTGCGGCTTAATATCTCCCTAGCATCTATCCTGTTACTTAAATAGACCACTTTGCGAAGTATTGAGCGACAAATTGAGACGAAACTTGCTCAAATGCAGAAGTCAAGTGATAGATGACCAATGTCAGTATTGGATCGTGGTATAAACGTACTGTCGCGTAAGCACTGACCGGGACCTTTGTTCTCGCGACAGAATGTAGTAATCATAATAAAGTTCTGACACGAGGTCTCTATCTGTCTTAAATCACAGGTAAATACTCAACTCAAACCTGTAGAAACTCACCTTTAACATTCAAAGCAGATTGCATGATATCACATTAACTGTACAGCCTACAGCTTGCTCCTGTCCTTGTCTATTGTGCACTGCTCGCTTGTTAACGATTTCATCTGAAAGTCACATCCATGGATACTCATGATGGCTTTTGGTTATAAAGGCAAATGAGATTTTGTCGGATATTAAACCGAGCAAAACTTTGAATGCTTTTGAATCTTTCCAGAATTTAAAACCATCAACCTTTAAACATAATGGTCGTTTTATCTTGATTTTAGATAGATAGCAGATAACAGATCGAAGCTGTTAGTGCTAAGTCGGGTTTTAACATTTGGATATAATGGACAATAATTCAAATTGAAACCGTCTGTGTTCCGGAACCATATCGTCGCCTGAAAACCAAAGTGTTCTAGGTCCCAAAATCCTATTTTCGAGAAAACCGATCTTGAAGTTTAGAACAACAATATTTTCGAAACTATTCGATCAAATTCTTTGGAATTGTGCACAAATAACTAAAAGTATGTTTAAGTTCTTGAAATAAATAAGAAATTAACGAAAAACGCCTGGCGAAAGAGATTCGTAATTTTGTTCAGAACCAGAGTGTTCTGTGTATCAGAAACGGAGCTGAATCATCGTTGTGCGATTGCTGTATAATTATCTCTCCCGTACTAGGTTGTATTTTGGCTGTTTTAGTTTCATAGCTTACGATTTATATTAAATAAATCATAAATGTAGGCAATGTTCCAATGTTCCCTTTGTATGTCTATACTGATGATAATAACTTCCATACTGTTCCATTTCCATGTCACGTGATCAAACTAGATTTGCTGATTGGTCCAATAGCCACTTAGAATACTCTGGAACTAACAAATTGTGTTATTTTATGGAGTTAAAACAATATAAACCCAAGTTCTAGGCTATTTATCACGGTGAAATTTTGCATGGAGATTGAATATGCAGAAAAACATACCCTGATCTTCTTGACTCAATTTTCACCAAAAGTGGACAGAACACCGGTTTTCAGGCGACGATATATGTCTGTACTACAAATAGTTTTGCAATTTCACCCTAAAAATTAAACCAGTGGCTACCATGTGCTTCTGTAGAAGTTTGGAAAGTAAATGTGGGAACGTTCTAAATCACTGGGTTGACGTACCCTCGATAGTTTGTTTCATTTGTATGTCTCCACTTTTCGCTGAAATATAAGCAAAATTGATCAAATGTTCTTCGGGTACATCAACCCATGGGCCCTAGCTGAGAGGAACGGTGAACAAAGGAATTATCTTACCGAACACCTTAATGTTAATTTTGAATTGTTTGAAGCACGGGTACAAATCTTTTTGTAGCCATCGCTAGATTTTGCTGACAAGAAAAATAGATTTAGAGTTATCTCCCTTTCATAAATTTGCATTCGCAAAACATCGGTAATTTCCGTTCATCATACGTGATTCAATGCTATTCGAGATAAAGAATTACTATCATGAAGTACCAAATGAGTTGCCATTGACAGCGGGGTACATTGAAATGTTACTCGCTTGTAAGCGGGGTACATTGAAAATAACAGGAGAGCGCTCAGCCAATCAGAAAGCGACATTTATGTGTGAGGTAAGATAAGATGAAATGTAACAACGAAAAAGATTGAATATCGTCCTAATACAGTACTTCATCAGCACGTCAATGTACACAATGCAACCAAGACACTGACCACCGTGACTCTAGGAAACTTGACAAACTGGACAAACTCTGTCTTATGTCCCGCAGCCGGGAAGTTAGCTGTCCATGTTTGTATCCGTGAAGATCCGGATTAGAACTGATCTTCAGGAACCCATGCTTGTCGTAAGAGGCGACTAACAGGATCAGATGGTCAGACTCGCTGATTTGGTCATCGTATCTCATTTGCGAAGACCGATGCTCATGAAGTTGATCACTGGATTGTCTGGTCCAGACTCGATTATTTACAGACCACTGCCATATAGCTGGAATATTGCTGAGTGCAGCGTAAAACTAAACTCACTCACTAACCCCAAGATGCGGCAATTGCCTAAATCAATGCTCATGTTGTTGATCACTGGATTGTCTGGTCCAGACTCGATTATTTACAGACCACTGCCATATAGCTGGAATATTGCTGAGTGCGGCGTAAAACTAAACTCACTCACTAACACCCCAAGATGCGGCAATTGCCTAGATCGATGATCGTATTGTTGATCACTGGATTGTCTGGTCCAGAATCGATTATTTACAGACCACTGCCATATAGCTGGAATATTGCTGACTGCGGCGTAAAACTAAACTCACTCACTAACCCCAAGATGCGGCAATCGCCTAGATCGATGCTCATGTTGTTGATCACTGGATTGTCTGGTCCAGACTCGATTTTTTACAGACCGCTGCTGGAACATTGTTAACTGCGGCATTATACAAAAAACACAAACAAACAAACCTAAGATGCGACTATCGGTCACTTACACTCACATAAACAAACAAGTGAGATATTCTGCATGTGACTTCATCAAGGTCGGATCAGAAGCTGATTATCCAGATCGCAGCCGAAAATACATATCAAGGAAATTATTCAATGTAACCGCTGTAACCGTTTTCCTCTCGTCAAATTACGGAGCAGCTTCTGGAACGAAATATCCTGATGAGACAACCGCTAGCAATTACGTCGAGGGCTAAGAATACACTGAGCTGAAGACACATTGAACTGATTATTTACTACTAAAAACCCTTTGAGGGTAAATTAAGTATCGAAATATTAGACGATTTTTCTCAGATCAATAAATCTTCTTTTTTCTGTGGACACACCAAGAAGTCAGCGAAGGCTTCTTTCCTCGGTATTGTGGATAAAGACTTCCATCTTACAAAACTGTATAAACTCTGGAAGATTCTATAAGGTGAAGAAATGAATGTAGGTAGCTATAATTAAGACATGATTCGTGAGAACAGCGCTATTAGGTGTCTGATGTCGAATGTTTTTAATCAATTAATCAATTTGCCAAGGTGTCGACAGTGATAACGAGACTCCAAATGGCACTCAGTGTTAACTAGGAAATAAAAATAACACGAATTACCACACTTAACTCGATGGCTTCATCTCGAATAAATCATTGAAGACAGCAAATTAGTATCAGTTTCCAGATTCGTGATGTGTATTTCCGCAACAACGACTTTTCTCTTGTACTGGGAGATTTCTTCGGGGTAAAATGTGGGAGTATGACGTTCTAAAATACAACATCCTAATGACATTTTTGTTCGATATTGCTCGGTCGCGATGAGGTTGTCCTAATGCAATAGCTTTCTAGTGATTTAAGAGGACAAGAATTAGGACAGTTCGTTACTTGTTGCTGTTTTAGTCTTCATTAATTTTGTACTTTAAACTTTTTAGGTTGTTACTGTAAATTCCAATTCCTCAAAACTTAATATATATTTCCCAACAAATGTTTAGACTCACTTAAAACACTCACTATATGTTATGTATATGTATATGTATATGTGTATATATATGGGAAATCAAACCCAGGTCTTCAGCGTGACGAGCGAACGCTTTAACCACGAAGCTACACCACCGCCACGTGTTTCATGAATACTGTATCAATGACAGGCCTCCTACTTTAAAGAGTATATACATAAGTATATATACTATTACCATCACATATAAACACTGTTTATGTCAAGAAAGATAATTCCAAAATATCATTGGCTGGTTCCAGCGAACCACCTTTTTATAGTGTTCTTGTATCACATACCGAACCGTGAAGATCAGGGTTAGAATCGGTCTTCAGTAACCCATGCTTGTAAGAAGCGACTAACGGGATCGGTTGGTCGGGCTCGCTGACTTGGTTGATACATCGTATCACAATTGAGTAAATGGATGCACATGCTGTTGATCACCGGGTTGTCTGGTCTAGACTGGATTATTTACAGACCGCCGCCATATAGCTGGAAAATTGCTGAGAGCGGCGTCAAACAAGCCAACCAACCCAGTCCAGAAATCGAAACACTTATGTCAATCATTCAAACCATGTTTTACCTTTGAATTTTTTAGTCAAATTTGTTCAACGCCGCACGATCAATATTTTAGTTATTTACAGACCGCCTCCATATTCCATATAGCTGGAATTTTGCTGAGTGCGGCTTTAAACAACAAACCAACCAAGTGACGATGGTACAGTGCCTTTAAATCTCCAACCTACAGATGACACTGAGATGTGTTTTGTTGTGTAGATCCACAAGGAGGTCGGGGTGTACAGGAAGGGGTATTGGTGCGTGAAGGACTGGGACCAGACGCTCTACAGCAGTCTATACGAACTGTTCATGCTGGGCATTATGCTTGTGTTCCCTGTTGCCATCATGACATTCGCTTATGTCAGCATCTGTCTGGAGCTGTGGATAATGACCACCAGGAGGTCGGCCATGAGGAGCGGCTTGTGAGTATAGTTACTTGGGGTCAAGCATGAAATAATCACATGTTGGGAAGGGATGGGAATGCTTTACATGTTTTTGTTGAGTGAGTGAGTTTAGTTTTTCGCCGATTCTAGCAATATTCCAGCAATATCACGGCGGGGGACACCAGAAATGGGTACCCATTGTACCCATGTGGGGAATCGTACACGGGTCTTCGGCGTGACGAGCGAGCGCTTTACCCATTAGGCTACCACACCGCCCCCTGTTTTTGTTGAACCAATTAGCATTAATTCTTTGTTGAAATATTTATTTGAAATATGACAACAGCATCCCCAGCAGACCAAGAGTTGGATGCGGGTTGTCTCAAAGGATTTTTATGTTTTGTTCCCTAAGAAGAATAAATGACAATGGGTGTTTGGAGGGTTAAATTGGAAATGTGTCTTAACAGTATCCCAAGCAGAGAAAGAGTTGGCTGCGGATGTCCTTCTGAGCAATAACATAACTTGGCAGAGTGTACAGAAGACCGACCAGTTTCAATTCCCGAAGGGGGGCAGTGAGGCAGTCTAGTGGTTAAAGTGTTCGCTCGTCAAGCAGAAGACCCGGGTTCGAATCCCCAAGTGGGTACAATGTGAAGCCCATTTCTTGTGTCCGCCGTCGTTATATTGCAAGAATATTGCTACAAGCGGCCTAAAACCTTACTCTGGAAGGAGTTCTTTATGGCATAAATTGGTGAAATTCTCTGGGTGTTCACCCGTGAAGGTCCGGGTTAGAATGAACCTTCAGTAACCCATGCTTGTCGTAAGAGGCGACTAACGGGATCGGGTGGTAAGGCTCGCTGGCTTGGTTGACACATGTCATCGGTTCCCAATTGCGCAGATCGATGCTCATGCTGTTGATCACTAGATTGTCTGGTCAAGACTGGATTGTTCACAGACCGCCGCCATATGGCTGGAATATTGCTGAGTGTGGCGTAAAACTAAAGTCACTCTCTCACTCACTTCTCTGGCTGTTACATCTTTCAAGTAAATATACTGTGTTTAAGAAAAAGTCAGTCAGTTAAAAGTGGTTGATTTCCAGCTTTTTATATCCTTTTGAAAATAACACAGATCCTGTTTATGACAGTCTTTGATAGCGTTCTTGCATTTATGAGTTCTCTTTTGAAATTCATTGTCGAAAAGATACCTCAAGATGTGGAAACGTAATTATATAATGGCATGTCACCTCCTGCAGCTAAAGATGCCATTACGGAACACAATAAGCTGAATCAATGTCAGAATCCACATCAGTAGTGAATCAAGTTGAGAAAGTTTCTCTTCCAAGAGTTCCTTGCATCTGTTTATATCTATATATTTGTAATTAGCTTGAATGGGGAAGATATACCGTTTCATGGGTTCTCGTTTAATTAGATACTGAAACTGTTGTAAGTAATTGATGAGAGTCATTATGAGTAATGATGTTTACAATTATGTCTTTAACAATAGGTTCTGTAGAGCTGTGATATTACGGCTGTTTCATCTTTTGAGTAGCAAGTAAATTCCTTTTCTGGGCCAGTCATACACCTTCTATTCATATCATACACTCCAGGAATCGTCCGTTGTTCCTTGCGTTTCATGCCATATTCATTGATCACACTGTCTTCATTATTTCTAGGTCTTTAAATGAATCAGCATGATATGACATGGCTCCCAATGAAGGGCTATTACAGGAACTTTCATCTATAATATAATCCTGCATATTTCCTGATAGTGCATTAAAGGCTCCAACGACGGCAGGGACTGATGCGCCAATCAATGTGTTGGAGAAAATACCTGCAAAACAGCTGTCCTAAAAATCAATTGCTATTTGAGATATTGTCACTTTTAGAAGGCCAATTTGGATGGTCATAAAGAGAAATCAACACAGAATGGCTTTGATGTGCCTATAAACTAATTATTCAAGAGTAGAAATATCCAATATAAAAATTCCAAGTAGGTCTTTTTTGCAGACTCGTGGAGAACAGAGCTGGAACTTGTTTTCGGCAACCCACGCTTGTCGTAAAAGGAGACTGGCGGGAACGGGTTGTTAGGCTCGCTGACTCGGTTGGTGCATGTCGTGACGTCAATGTGCGTGACGTCAATCAATTGATTGTGTGAAACAACCAGTAAAAAAAATAAGAAAACACACTTTTTGTTACATTTTTGGATGTACTATATTTCATGGATGGAGGCACACAACGTCTGTTCAGGTAAACCTTGTATGTCTAGATATTATTATCGTAGAAATCAGTTTCAGTATCATCACAATCACATTTATTCCAGTTCTTTAAAGTAAAACAAAAAGTAGATTTCACACAGACTCCACATCACAACCTCCTATAATATATGTATATCATTTATCGGGGAGTTAGATAGATTTGAATATGTGTGTTTTGAAATATTATTTGTTACAGAAGTGGTTGAAAAAGATCTGTATAATATTTTCTCAGGCATTTATTGTCTGTTTAGTGTTGGGAATCGGAACCCAAATCCATTATCGATTATCGAAGGACTTGTGGTGAATGATTATCGATTATTATCGAAGTATATACATTTTTAATGTAATCACCAATTTTAAGGGGTTTTCCCCCAGGTTTTTTTTCAATTAATGTGTTTTATAACTAATACTGCCATACAGTGAAAGACACTGGAATTGTGATTAAACAATAAAAGTGTTTAAATTTTACAATACTTTCTGTCATCTTTTCATTACTTGATTATTCTATTCTATCATTACATACATATACCATCATTCATGAGTATCCTGAATAATCGTCAAATTTAATAGTTAGTTTACTTCACTCAAGTGTGTTATACTTATACAACTAAATTCCGATTATTCGAAAATATTCGAAAAACTGATAATTATTTTTAATCCCTTTTCGATCGATTTTCGATCATCAGAACACCACTAGCTGAAATACAATGTCGAAGACTCCTTCCACAGAATAATTACGTGATGACGCTTCAGCGTTTTAAGGCAGTTAATATAATATGTTTTCAGCTTGAGCTGAAATACTGTGCAAAGTGGTGTTAAACCCAACTAAAAAAAAGTAGCAGAATATTTCGCGAGCACTGTAGTAGTACACTGTAATCTCCTTCACTGGTGATATAAACTGTGCAGCCCAAACCAAATACATCAGTGCATCTAAGGTAGTCTGGGCAAATAGAAGCGTTTAAGCCCATTCCATATTAATCATAAGCCTCTGCTAAAGTAGGTTCGATCGTACGATTCAGACAGTATTATAAGCATGTGTTGAAGAATTATTATCAAATAGGGATGACGCCAGGTATTCAGCTGCAAGATGAGCTTATTTGTATAAGAAGAGATCAGTTGTCAAATGATTAATATCTGCTTATTCAGTATTGGTTCATGTTAATGTCTAGGGAGATATGTTTATGATCTGGATATAGGTAATTGAAGGAAATAATGGGTGTGTTTGATGTAATTATAGCTATTTATACACCATTATCACATACATCATGTAATGTATAAAAAATCACATATTTCCCAAAGTGTTGCCATTTATTACGTTTGGGGAGCTATGATGGATCGTATTGATCGATAGGTATTACATATCGGAGGACACATTACAATATACAATCTACGGTTCCATTGGCAGCACTTTAATTGTTGGCAAATCTTTAGTAGTTTAATTGCAGGCGCGTCAACAGTAGTTACAGTGACGGTTCCATTGGCAGGGTCTTGAACACTTTAATTTTTGACAAATATGTAGTAGTTTAATTGTAGACACGTTTGAAAATAACACAGATCCTGTTTATGACAGTCTTTGATAGCGTTCTTGCATTTATGAGTTCTCTTGAAATTCAGTGTCGAAAAGATACCTCAAGATGTGGAAACTTAATTATATAATTGCATGCCACCTCCTGCAGCTAAAGATGCCATTACGGAACACAATAAGCTGAATCAATGTCAGAATCCACATCAGTAGTGAATCAAGTTGAGAAAGTTTCTCTTCCAAGAGCTCCTTGCATCCGTTTGTATCTATATATTTGTAATTAGCTTGAATGGGGAAGATATACCGTTTCATGTGTTCTCGTTTAATTAGATACTGAAAATGAGAGTCATTATGAGTAGTGATGTTTACAATTATATCTTAAACAACAGGTTCTGTAAGAGCAGTGATATTACGGCTGTTTCATCTTTGAGTAGCAAGTAAATTCCTTTTCTGGGCCAGTGATACTCCTTCTATTCATATCATACACTCCAGGAATCGTCCGTTGTTCCTTGCGTTTCATGCCATATTCATTGATCACACTGTCTTCATTATTTCTAGGTCTTTAAACGAATCAGCATGATATGACATGGCTCCCAATGAAGGGCTATTACAAGGAAATTTCATCTATAATATAATCCTGCATATTTCCTGATAGTGAATTAAAGGCTCCCACGACGGCAGGGGACTGATGTGCCAATCAATGTGTTGGAGAAAATACCTGCAAAACAGCTGTCCAAAAATCAATTGCTATTTGAGATATTGTCACTTTTAGAAGGCCAATTTGGATGGTCATAAAGAGAAATCAACACAGAATGGCTTTGATGTGCCTATAAACTAATTATTCAAGAGTAGAAATATCCATATAAAAATTCCAAGTAGGTCTTTTGCAGACTCGTGGAGAACAGAGCTGGAACTTGATTTCGGCAACCCACGCTTGTCGTAAAAGGCGACTGGCGGGATCGGGTTGTTAGGCTCGCTGACTCGGTTGATGCACGTCGTGACGTCAATGTGCGTGACGTCAATCAATTGATTGTGTGAAACAACCAGTAAAAAATAAGCAAACACACTTTTGTTACATTTTGGATGTACTATATTTCATGGATGGAGGCACACAACGTCTGTTCAGGTAAACCTTGTATGTCTAGATATTATTATCGTAGAAATCAGTTTCAGTATCATCACAATCACATTTATTCCAGTTCTTTAAAGTAAAACAAAAGTAGATTTCACACAGACTCCACATCACAACCTTCTATAATATATGTATATCATTTATCGGGGAGTTAGATAGATTTGAATATGTGTGTTTTGAAATATTATTTGTTACAGAAAGTGGTTGAAAAAAGTTCTGTATAATATTTTCTCAGGCATTTATTGTCTGTTTAGTGTTGGGAATCGGAACCCAAATCCATTGTCGATTATCGGATGACTTGTGGTGAATGATTATCGATTATTATGGAAGTATATACATTTTTATTGTAATCACCAATTTTAAGGGTTTTCCCCGGAATTTTTCAATTAATGTTTCTTATTACTAATACTGTTATACAGTGAAAGACACTGGAATTGTGATTAAACAATAAAAGTGTTTAAATTTTACAATACTTTCTGTCATCTTCTCATTACTTGATTATTCTACTCTGTCATTAAATATATATACTATCATTCATGAGTATCCTGAATATTCAAATTTAATTTAATTTACTTCATTCAAGTTTGTTATACTTATACAACTAAATTCCGATTATTCGAAAATATGTATTTTGCAACTGATAATTATTTTTAATCCCTTTTCGATCGATTTTCGATCATCAGAACACCACTAGCTGAAATACAATGTCGAAGACTCCTTCCACAGAATAATTACGTGATGACGCTTCAGCGTTTTAAGGCAGTTAAATAATATGTTTTCAGCTTGAGCTGAAATACTGTGAAAAGTGTTGTTAAACCCAACTAAAAAAAGTAGCAGAATATTTCGCAAGCACTGTAGTAGTACACTGTAATCTCCTTCACTGGTGATATAAACTGTGCAACCCAAACCAAATACATCAGTGCATCTAAGGTAGTCTGGGCAAATAGAAGCGTTTAAGCCCATTCCATATTAATCATAAGCCTCTGCTAAAGTAGGTTCGATCGTACGATTCAGACAGTATTATAAGCATGTGTTGAAGAATCATTATCAAATAGGGATGACGCCAGGTATTCAGCTGCAAGATGAGCTTATTTGTATAAGAAGAGATCAGTTGTCAAATGATTAATATCTGCTTATTCAGTATTGGTTCATGTTAATGTCTTGGGAGATATGTTTATGATCTGGATATAGGTAATTGAAGGAAATAATGGGTGTGTTTGATGTAATTATAGCTATTTATACACCATTATCACATACATCATGTAATGTATAAAAAATCACATATTTCCCAAAGTGTTGCCATTTATTACGTTTGGGGAGCTATGATGGATCGTATTGATCGATAGGTATTACATATCGGAGGACACATTACAATATACAATCTACGGTTCCATTGGCAGCACTTTAATTGTTGACAAATATGTAGTAGTTTAATTGTAGACACGTCTACAGTTGTCACAGTGACGGTTCCATTGGCAGGGTCTTGAACACTTTAATTGTTGACAAATATGTAGTAGTTTAATTGTAGACACGTCTACAGTTGTCACAGTGACGGTTCCATTGGCAGGGTCTTGAACACTTTAATTGTTGACAAATCTATATTAGTTTAATTGTAGACACGTCAACAGTTGTCAGAGTGACGGTTCCATTGGCGGGATCTTGAACACTTTAATTGTTGACAAATCTATAGTAGTTTAATTGTAGACACGTCTACAGTTGTCACGGTGACGGTTCCATTGGCTGGGTCTTGGGCACTTCAATTGTTGGCAAATCTACAGTAGTTTAATTGTATGCACGTCAACAGTTGTCACAGCGACGGTTCCACTGGCGGGATCTTGAGCACTTTAATTGTTGGCAAATCTATATTAGTTTAACTGTATGCACGTCTACAGTAGTCACTTTGACGGTTCCACTGGCAAAGTTCGAGGACTTTAAATGTTGCCAAATCTAAAGTAGTATAATTGCAGGCACGTCTACATCAGTTACAGTGACTGGTGCATCGGCGTTTGACTGTCTTACGTTGGCAACATCCAGTAGTCATTGTTTCTGTGGTGGGTCTAGTCCAGGACTACATACGTGTTAACGAATCACTGTCTATTTGGCAGAGTTCTAGCTACAGGAACGTTCCGGTCACCGCCTTCAACTGAAAGCAGCCCCTACCACGTCACGTCAGAAAAGACCCCAGTGATGAAGAAGCAGAAGTTCTCCACTGATGATGATGCCACAAGGAAACAGGTAGGTTAAATCATTTAGATTCCAATAATACTGTTTTGTCAAAGCACACCATCTAAAACCATATATTAACCAATAAATGTGGGCGTCTGAATAAATTATTGCTACAACCAACAAATATGTTGAATTCTCCCTAGAATGACATCTATGTTTTTGAAAGACAAACTGTCAATTTTATGTCCCTCACATACCACCATACAACTGCCGAACATGTGTTTTTCAACAACTACTAGGACTACGAATGATCACGACTTTTATCCGGGCAAAATAGAATGTTTCCGGTTACGTTGAAAACATACATCGGAAATGATATGAGAAAAGGATCATGTGTACAGAATGACTTACTTTTGGAGATTTAGGCGTTGCAGCCATAACCTTTTGATCGAACCGTAAGATATATACATAAAGGATATTTTTGTCGTTGTGAAAAGGACATTGACAACAATGATCGAACCGTGAGATGCAAACAATGGAAATCATATTCTTGTCTTTGTGAAAAGGACATTGGTGATCTGTTCCTATTTTTATGTCTGGGATTTGGATTAGAAATAACAACCCTGTTTAATAATGTTAATGAGTGAGATTTACGTCGCTTCTGGCATTATTCAATAACATCATGGCCGAGGATATTGTACCCATACTGGGGCTTGAACCCGCCACCTCGGAATAACGAGTAAACTCCAAGTACACCTGACTAACCAAAAACATTTTGAAATGTATAATGGCATGTGTGGGTTGAGGAACGGGATCTGGGAGTTTGCATGACATCTTAATATCTATTTATTGGTACAAGCCCACGCAAGGTTTCGTTTATCTTCAAAACTATGGGCCAGATCAATAAAATTTGAAACCTCTTGCAATGTATTCCCCAGGTCGATCTCCCGGTCAAATGCCGCTTTTAGAATGAATTGAATATTTGACGACAGATCAGGAAAATATCATTTTTGATTATCTACCGAAAGATTTTCCACCAGACGTTGACGGCTAAATAGGGTGAAAATGATGTGTTCGGATCACTGAAAATCACTTATGACACCGGGTGTCTATTTTGTGCTAACCTGTAATCAATCAGTCTGGTCCGACAAAATGACCGGTGATTAGTCCAGTCATGGCAACCTCTAACCTGGCCAAACTGTATCATCTTTGAGCACTCTCCAATCTGGTACGGATTCATGTCCAAATTAGTCCTAATGGCTGACCATCTTGGTATTACTTGTCGTCGGTCAATATAATATGACTGATTGATTCCTAAGCTGTTTTGACCAGTTTTATAACTTTGGCAAAACCGTTTTTAAATTGTAGAATTGGTGTAAAGTCAGTGTTTTAATCCAACGTGGGCTTATTATGAACATCAATCTACTGGCATTGTCAATCATCTGTCATCATTCTTCGCCAGGTTTTTTACCTCATTTAATTTAAATTTTCAATTTAATTTTTCATTATTCCTGGAGTCGTAGAGTATTCAGTATTCGATGAACATAGAGAATTTTTCATCTTCTTTTTATTCTTTGATACAACGCTTCAGGGCTTTTACCTGATGATGGGGCCAGAACAAGCACTGAAACGTTGTATCAAAGAATAAAAAGAAGATGAAATCCATAAAATTCATCAATGTTCATCAAGTAGCGTCTTCTAAAATGCCAATCAAGCATCTTATACAGTATTCATTCAAGATTTATTTTGGATTGCAGTAGATCTTTTTCCATTTTCGCTCAAAATCAAGAACTGACTACCATTATTCATAAACCTCAGATTATATTCCTTTGATTATCATGAAATATTCTTCTCAGGATTTATCAGATCACTGAAGAAACCGTTTGTATACAAATCCTTCAGAAGTACTTTGTTACCTTTCTTCATAGTTTTTCCCCTGAATCAGGTATATCGAAACTTAGACATGTTAAATCTAATATTGCAGAGTTTATTTGACAGGTTTATTAGTGAGTGAGATAAATTTTATGCCACTTTTACCAATAATCCAGCAATAACACGGCGGTGGACACCGGACATGGGCTTCACACACGTGAGGACAGATCTATCACTCACTAAGGGGTAAAAATACATACTTCACCATTTCGTACCGGAATCCACTAATACTCGTAAAGAAATCTTTGGTGAGGGCATCTGCAGAAATGTTCTCGTTTATTCTTGAATAATCCCGAACCAATAACAGTCTGATGCCATGTCAGAGAACGTCCAGCTCAGCAGGCACGGCGTCGCGTGACATGTTTCCAGTCGTGCTTCGGGATAAATGTACCATGTGACAGGAAATATCGGTCCGGGAGTTTCAGATCCCTCGGACAGGTTCTTCCTTTGTTTTTTAAAAGACTTTAATAATTGTTGTTACAACCAACTTCGAGGGAGGGGAAGAGGGCGGTGGGGTAGCCTATTGGTTAAAGCTATCCCTCGTCACGCCATAAGGTACAATGTGTGAAGCCCATTTCTGGTGTCCCCGCAGTGATAGTGCTGGAATATTACTAAAAGCGGTGTAAAACTAAACTCAATCACGTTCAGCTAGAGATCTATACGCCAATGAATTCACTTCGAAAGCATCAAACAACATAGAAATGCTAGTATTTAACAACAATAATTTACAAATTTATTTTATTTTTTGTGTGTTATTGTTCCCAATGTGATGAGTACAAAAACATGATGGGTACAAGCATATAGAGGAATATGTGTACATAGCAGCTAGTGGGCTCAATAGAGATATAGTACATTATGTACATTCAATATCAATATAAGTAATTATCAACTTTTGGAATTGTTTTTTTCAAAGATCAAGTGTAAATATATATCTTAGCAGATAAGATTATGTGGTTCAGTAATGGGTTCTTACCTAAAAAGCCAAACTGGATCAAACTTTTTGTCAAATTAAGTGTTTGGATACGTTTCGTAATCCACTGTTCAAGTTTCTTCCAGAAAGTTTTGGTTTCATCACATTCCCAATATACATGGCATAAGGTCTCAACAGAATCATTACACAAAGAACATATGGTATTGTCCACCAGATTCAGTCTAAACAGTTCATTTTTTGGTATAAACAATTTCGTGCAGAAATTTATATTGAAAGTCTAACAGTTTCACATCTCTTAAATTCTTTCTAATTAACAATTAACCAGGTTTAGAAATCAATGGTGAGCATTTTCAAAGCCGGTGCACAATAACGTGGCAGTACAGAATTCAATGGCAGTGCAATTACTTAAAGCAGCATAACGTCTAAAATAAGTATAAATAGCAATTACTTAAAGCAGCATACAGTCTAAAATAAGTGAAAATAGCAATTACTTAAAGCAGCATAAAGTCTAAAATAAGTGAAAATAGCAATTACTTAAAGCAGCATAAAGTCTAAAATAAGTGAAAATAACAATTACATAAAGCAGCATAAAGTCTAAATTAAGTGAAAATAACAATTACTTAAAGCAGCATAAAGTCTAAAATAAGTGAAAATAGCATTTACTTAAAGCAGCATAAAGTCTAAAATAAGTGAAAATAACAATTACTTAAAGCAGCATAAAGTCTAAAATAGGTGAAAATAGCAATAAAGTCAGTGTTGACTGTTGAGAATATTCAATTCAATTCTTTATCCCGTTAGTGTAGGCCCAAAACTACATACATGTATCTACATGTCGTAGACAAGTGTTACAATTCGATCAAATGTTGACATTCAAGTTAGTGTTCGACGGATTGGCATTGCATGGTAAATATACATTGCAAGATTCTTACTTAGGGTACAATCGTTGGTCGACATCAGGATATTAAGCGTAGACTTAGATGGATATAAGTGATACTTATACTGAGGGTATATAATTTTCACGTAACTGGCTATAAGAGGAGCATATTAAAAGGAAGTGGTACTCGTCTTGGTCAAATCCTTTGTGGCATACACAACATAGTCTTTTATGTACTTCCGTATTGATATACCTTCCGGTCTCAATACTTAACTGATGTCTGAATACTTAACTAATGTACTACCCGCAATACTGATAAAGCTGCCAAAATATGAAAATATGATCTTTGGTAAACCGTTGGTCTTGATGTCATAGGAGATGATAGAGGCGTGCGCTTCTTCTGGTTCAGTAAAAACACCTTTCAGAAAGTTCCACACAAACCGGATTATTCTTCACTGATCCAGGATAATCCGGATTACACTTGACACCAAAATCATCTACAACACCCCCACCACTGCTTACATTACATAGTAATGCTCTCCTGAATAGTGAATCTTACCTAAATCAATGTAATACAACTAGAACATTGAGAAGAACTTTCCCTGCCTTACAGCACTGTGTTTGTACATTTTCCTTCAATTAATGGAAATAATTAATGGTTTATATTATTGTTATTTCCAATTTCAGGTCATTAAGATGCTAGTAGCAGTCATCCTCATCTTCGTGGTCTGCTGGGCCCCCATTCTCATCAGCAACGTCTTGACAGCGTTTCGGGTCATACACCATCTCAACTACGGCTACCTGAAGCCGATGAGGCAGACTTTCTACCTTCTTGCTTACGCCAACAGTGTTATGAATCCCTTTATCTACGGTTTCATGTCGAAGCACTTCAGAGATACGTTCTACCAGTCCTTGTGTATGTGCGTCAAGGGGAGGGAGTTTCAAAGGAGGAGTCGTTTTCTACGACAGAATTCCCAAATGACAAGATCGTCACACGCAGCTTACTGTGCCCAAGACAGTGTCCAGATGTCGTCACTGGAGTCGCCTTATGGAGCTTGTAGACCGGAATTTGTATGAGCGTTGTCAAAGGATTGCTTCAGACGTGTGATGTGGTCATAAACTGGACATAGATAACAGAAGCGCAACGCTTTGATCTTTGGGAATCATTTGCAGTATGGTTCATGATGAATGAGACATTGTTCTTGAAGCAGGCGACAAGTCAACTTGATCAGAGAGACACTTGACCTATTGCATCAATACAGTGTTCAGTATTCCCAAAGAGACTACGAATCGGGGAAGTTTAATGGTCCAAGGACCAATGTTTCGTGAAGCAGCGGTTTTGCGGAATGGTATCGCATGTCGTTGGCATGGAAAATATCCCAATGTATCACCGATGCAGCAGGGACAACCCAAAGAACAGTTTCCAGAACAATTTACAGAGCATTGTACAGAAAGGTTTACTGAACAGTTTACAGAACGATTAATAGAAGGGTTTACTGAACAGTTTACTTAGCAGAGCAGTTCGCTGAACAGTTAACAGAGCCGTTCACAGAAGGTTTTACTGAACAGTTTACAGAAGGATTTACAGAACAGGTTATGTAACAGTTTACATAAGAGATCACATAAGGGTTTACTGAGCAGTTTACTTAACAGTTCACTGAATAGTTCACAGAGGGGTCTACTGAACGGTGTACTGGGCGGTGTACTGAACAGGAAACAGGAGGGTTTGCGGAACAGTTTACTGTACAGTTTACAGATGAGTTTACTGAACGGTTCACAGTTGAGTTTACTGAACGGTGTGCTGAACAGTTAACAGATGAGTTTACTGAACGGTGTACTGAACAGTTTACAGATGAGTTTACTGAACGGTGTACTGAAAAGTTTACTGAACAGGACACAGAAGGGTTTGCGGAACAGTTTACTGTACAGTTTACAGATGAGTTTACTGAACGGTGTGCTGAACGGTTTACCGAACAGGTTAGAGAAGATTTTACAGAACAATTTGCTTAACAGTTTACATATGGGTTTACTGAACAGTTTAAAGAAGTGTTTGCTGAACAGTTTAAAGAATACATGACCAAACAGTTTTGTTCTTAATGTATAAAAGATGTCCGATGCATGAATACGTTTTGATGCTGTTGCAGATGTTGTAATGTGCCACTTTGTTTATACATTTCTTGCTCAATATAACATAGACGCTCTCGCCAGGAGATATGTACCTTCTTGTTAGTATAGAGATCAGCTTGGAGGTACCAGGGTGTGATAAGCTTTTAGGTACCAGGATGTGATAAGCTTGGAGGTACCAGGGTGTGATAAGCTTGTAGGTACCAGGGTGTGATAAGCTTTGAGGTACCAGGGTGTGATAAGCTTGGAGGTACCAGGATGTGATAAGCTTGGAGGTACCAGGATGTGATAAACATGAAAACCTGAGACAAATGTTACTACTTCAGCATTATAAAGTTCCATCTTCATGAACTCTATGTGTTTATAATTTTTTTGTGAAGAAAAGTTCACAAACATATTTCAATTTGATCCAAATTGATTCAACATGGAAATGTGATCTATACTTTCAACGATCACTTCGTCAGGCGAATGTAGACGGTTGGGTAGCAAGGTGTTGTGAGCACTGGCTTGTTTCTCTGCTTGGTTCGGGCCCGGTTCCCTACATGTTTCTCCCGGTGGCCATGGATTCGAACCTGCTTTGTGGGGTATCCTGATGGGGCATCCCCAGCGACGTAGGCCTCTCGCAAAGGTCGACTGAGTTTAGTTTTACGGCGTTTTAGCTCCCATCTGGGAGACACCAGAAATGGCCTTCACACATTGTGCATATGTGGGGAATCGAACTCGTGTCATCAGCGTGACGAGCGAACGCTTTAACACCTAGGCTACTTCACCCCCCCTTGCAATGGTCGACTAAAACAGTGATCGTTCTTGTCACTATGATGTCACCGAACGCCCAACGGCGTGGAACGCTTCTCACAATATCAACCACCGGTCTGTCTGCTCAAATCTCGGTGATGTATCTACAGTACTGATAACTGAAGAGTAAACAAACATACACCTCACTTCATCACACGTAGTATATATACTCTTCAAAAGAAGTAGGGAACCTGAACTTTCAATTTGGATAGGAAGTATAAGCTTTAACAAACTTTATCAAAGACAGACATCTTATAAACGCACCACCATTTCTCACTACCATTATCACCCCTAAGCACAACGCATGGGAAAAACGCAGTAGCCCAATGCACGTGCATGGGGTGTCGTTCTTGATTTTGACGGTTTTCAAGAAGGTCGATTAATCACTGTAGACCATTAATTTTGAAAGTCATCATGCATCACCCAGTTGTCAGTGTTGCTTTTTTATTATTATTATTTTATTTATTTATTTATTTATTTATTTTTTTTTGGGGATGTGTGTCGGGTGGTGGTGGTGTGAAAATGAAAACCGCACACAAGCAAATTTCACGAATTCGAAGGCGAGAAAGCGATGGCCCATATCAGCCACCATAGTTTTCCATTTGTGTAATAGCAGTGACCTAAGGCCAAACGCCGGGATGCAAACCAATACACAATTGGGGTGTGGCCACGTTGCCTTCAAGTTGTCTAAGTGGTCTTCCAGTGCAAAGCAAAGCCATATTCAGGTACATTACATAAAATATCACAAACCTGACTTACTGGTTCTTGATTATATCAAGCCTAATATAAAAGAAGTATGCTATGAAAAAGTATTGACGCTGATAGTTAGCTGTTTGTTGTACAGTTTTTATATTACACTCTTTTGAGCCCTGAAATTCACAGCTCAATTAATGATGCAAAGATTCGGTACCAGAACGATACACCTGATTACATATGGTTACAGCACCATTAATAAATGAAATATGGAATCCAAGGCAATGACATAGACTACCCGGAACCCTATAACATGACGGCATGTCTGTGCAATACCTAATGATAATTAACGAACAGACTTTATTAGAAAAAAATTGATTGCACTCAGTCCATATGACTCCAAAATATTGAACAAACCTGAAGATATCATGTATTATTATATAACTTTCACGTGCAATTTCTGGACTGTCAACTGCATTCAATAATACAACTGTTGTACAATAATACAACTGTTGTACAATAATACAACTGTTGTACAATAATTAACTGTTGTAACAAAACAAAACACATATATACAGATACACTAAACGCCAAAAGAAACGTTACCCCCCTTCCTTTATGACGGAGGTACCTCTCTTCAGCTGGCGTTGTGATGCGTGGACGTCCACTTTTTGGTCTGTCTACGATGATCCCAGTCTGTCTGAAGCCCTGAATAAGTCTTATAACCGTGATACCGTGGCATCGGTGGGCGTTGGCAACAACATTGTACGTCGACATCCAAATGGCTCTTTCTCTCCCTTCAGCTGTTAATCGTGGCATATTTCTCGTACTTGTGTATCAGATCATGTCTTCTAGGCTCTCTTTATACTATAGAATCATTCTGCATGTGAAATAGATGTAAATACTGTTTGAATATTGCTGCGTTTTTGGCGACTGATATTGCTATGTGTAAAATGGAAATGGAAAAATATTACTTTGCTTAAAAGCAAAATGTTAAAGATAATTGTAGATGTTCCTAAACATTTTTCACAATATCAAAGACAAGTTTTACTTTGTTTTAATAATGCAAATCAGCAAAAAATGTTTTAAAAGACTGAAATCATATCAATGACTATTTTACAATTTTACACACTCTACAACAGTTGTGACTTTAAATGGTTTATCATTGTCCAAAAGCAGAATTTTATTTCAACCTTTCTTTTGGACATCAAAATCACTATTGGTTTATTTCGGCATGGACGAATATAGGACAATTTAACTCTTCTGAAAAAGATGCATTTCACCCAAATATGAATGCATTTGAAAATTTATTTTCGTGATTTGCATAAAGCTCTGTTGTTAAGCTTTCTTGCAAACTAAAACATTCTCAAATATCTTTGATAGTTTTTCAGCAATTCATAAAGGTGGGAGGATAACGTTTCATTTGGCGTCTAGTGTATGTCTAAACACATTTATGAAGTTTACTTCAGAAAATTATGCAGAGATCCTAACATTTTGAAAGAGAAACTTTTTTGGAAAAAAACATGAAGAAAATTGGTCAAACGTTTGCAGTAAAAATATTATTTTATATAAAATTGGAGAGTGCATAAGTTTTACCCCCAGAAAGCAGGAAATTGCATCTGAGAGAATCTAAATTAAAAAAGTTCACGGGGGAGCATGCCCCCGGACTCCCGCAGAAGGATAGTGCCCCCCTCCCAAAAAAGAAAAGTTAACTTCGACCCTGAGTAGCCAATGAGAGACTAATTGGAAATCCATGGGATTTTCAAAGTTTGCGCTTCGGCCTTTAAGGGCGTGAGTTCTGTTGCCTGATTTCAGCAATTTTAATGTCATTGTCAATTATTAGTTTATGTTTAAGTCTAACTGAACCCTAGAGCTATGAAAACTGTAAAAGGTGACAAACTTGATTACACACAATCATGTTGCTGAAAAAGTGTTAAAGTAGTGTTAAACATGTAGTGTTACAACTCTATTAGCGGTAAATTGTTTTAGCGGCATGCAAAAACAACTAAGGGCAGGAGAGTTACCCGCCTTGGGGTTATAAAACACCTGGCTAATAAAAACATGCGAATTACAATGCACTATTTGATTGATTGAAATCAAGTGCTATGGAAAGGCATCTAAGTACACCCACCCACGCGCGCACAATACACAGATGGTCATTCTGGTACGGTGACACCAATGGTTGAGAGCACGGCAACCGTAAAAGGCGCTATATCACAACACACTTCTAATAATAATGCATTTCTCTTAATACTACCATCAGCCCTCAAGGAAGCTACCATATAATCTATTTTGAAAATTACTTATTTAGATTACAACATAAATTAAATAGTTCAAATGAATTAATGAAACGTGGTACTAAATCGACTCTGGCGCCCTCTACCGGCCGAACATTATTTCAAGCAAACCCCATAGAGTCATGCCCCTTGGAGCGCTCTTTACGAATATCCTACACGCAACTTGTGATTGAAACCAGTTCGACAAACACCGACAGCACCGCGTGCGACAGTTTTCGATGTACGGAGCAGTTATTTGCATTCCCTATATGGCAAGTGTTCTGTGTTTGGAAGCTGTTCGCCTCGAAGTTTTAGTTATTGATTTCAGGCAAGTCGTAATGTATAATAAGTCTTTTATTGCATCAATAGGAAGTTAAAGTGTGTGCCTATGCCCAAACATATATAATATAGACCAATATTTTGTGACATTGTGCCTTTGAAAACAATCAGCGAGGTCAAACTTTGCAAACATCCTTCAGAAGTTTGAGCAGTTTTAAACAAGCACATGGCTGGGGAAATTTGCTGGATTCCCAAAGGGGTCATCACTGCTGAAACACCATTATGAGCCTCCACTGGCAAAATAGTCGGAGATAAAACAAATTTATTAACAAGTTGAAAACTTCCAGAGTTCGCTGGGTGCAAGTAATATCAGATATGTTGATGCTGTAACTCTTTAGTTCATAATCTCCATAAGTTACACCGATCACATGCTTTTTCTGCATAAATCAATTTTCTTTTTAAAAAAGAATGCTTGAGTTCGCTAGGTACAAGTAACATCAGATAGTTCAGTTAAGAATCAAAATCTCCCCATGATTCACCTGTCTCACAGGATCTTTCCGTAAGAATCCATTTCCTTTTAAAGGAAAGCAAATGAAGCGTTTAATACACCAAAAGCTTGTGTTTTGGGGTCTTCACATCCTCCCCACAAACGACATTTCCGAATTTTAACATGTACGGATTTTGAATGCAAAATCCCTAAGAGCATAATCGCACTCAATATAATAAGATATATTTGAAAAATCCCCACGAAAGGACGCGGTTGGATGTTTAGTCAGCATCTTATCGATCAAAGACGATCCTTTAATATAAATTACTGTCGGAATCAATTCTCAAATATATGTTGTAGGCCAATCCACAAATATGAAACGATAACCCCAAAATTCTAAAACGGACTCTTATATACCAGTAATTAATGTGAATGAAAAATATATACCACTGAAAATCGGTAAGGAAATTGATGCAATTGATAGTAAAGGTATAATGACGAAAAGTAGGGCGGTGGGGGGCATTAATGTATGTTGTATCAACTTTGCTGGTATGCTGGGTGTTACATGATGGAATACCCTCATTTCCCCTTGGTATTGCCAGCTACTCGGTATAGGCATTGCCTAAAGAGCATTCCATTGCTTTGTCACTTTGCTGGTTGGTGGTTCTCCGGTGCACATTCTCCGCAACCAGTACATCCCATAAAAGTTCAATTACAGACATGTCAGGGGACCTAACGGGTTAAGTTCAATAGCTGTATGACTTATCATCAGGGGAAATTGGTGACGACCTGGGCACGATGTGCAATGTCATATTGGAGTT